GGGGAGGGTGTGTGCTGCAAGCCTCTGAGGTGCTGGGGGGGCGTGGCTCTCCTTGGCTGGATCTGGCTAGAGCAGCCCCCTGCCATCCCCCCCCTCCCCACCCACCGCTATGGCACCTGCCCCTCTCGGGCCCTTTAGCCAGAGGGTGCTGGCCGCTCGGGGGCTCTGAGCTGGTCTCACAGAGTGACCACGTGGGGCTGCTCCCGTGCGGCTCTGCCTCTGTCCCAGGCCTCCCTGGTATCTGCAGCCAGAGCCAGCCGGGCCCTGCGCCCCGCTGCGCGTGCTCCCCCGCCGGGCAGAGCAGCTCTGGACAGCCCCAGCCTGGCGAGAGTTAATTCTCAGAGGAAGTCCTCACTCCCCCGGCAGTTTTATTTTCTCATAAATGCAGCTCCTTTTGGTAACAGGCCCTTTCCCGAGTGCTCTCTCCCCGGTCCTCCCACCTGAGGGAGCCTTGTTGCCTGCCCTGGGCACCTCCCCGCCCCCCAGCCCCCTTCTTTCCTCTGCCTCCACTTGAGCCTCCAGGCTAGGGGATCTGGGCTTTCCAGGAGTGGCGCGCAGGGGCCGCATTATCCCAGGGGGGAGGCCCCCAGTTGTGAAGCCAGGAGGGGGGGCAGTCCAGTCCCGAGTCCAGCCTCCTCCTGCGTGGCAGTGTCTGCGTGAATGGCGGGGTATCTTTACACCTCCAGGGCCGCCAGCCCCAGCCTCCTGTGCCCCGCCGCCGCCTGGGAGTGCCCTCGCCGGCTGCTGGCCAGGCCCAAGAGCAGGCTGGGAGGTGGCCCCTGGCTCACAGGTGCTGGCCACCAGGGTTTGTCTGGAAGCAGGCGCCCAGGCCACCCCGTGCTGCCACTCTCCAGGGCTGACCTCGGGTAGGATCCAGCTCCCGGTGGCCGCGGTCCAAGGGGACAGACTGCCCCGGAGGAAGAGCCGCTCCGGGCCGAAGGCAGTGATGAGGCAACAGGCGTGTGTGAGGCCCACCCTGCTCCTGAGGGTGTGTTGGGGGAGTCAGGACCCCAGGAGGGTCTGGGTGGAGGTAGGAGATGCGGAACCCGGGCATGGAGTTCCTGAGTGTGGGGCCTTTCCAGGGGGGTGTAGCCAGCGCCGAGGGCAGGGGAAGTTGTGGGGCGGCGGAGGCCCCTCGGGGGATGGGGCTCTTCCGTGAGGGGACCCAACAAGGAGACGGGCTCAGCAGAGGGTACTGAGGGGGAAACTATTTTCCCAACGTGGGGGGCTCACGGTTATAGCCCGGGCCCTTTTCCGCCCACCCCCCCCCCTCCACCCACAAGCTTCTGCGTGGGCTGCGGTTAGTGGTGGGGGAAGAAGTGTGAACTCTGAGAGAGAGGATGGAAACTCTGCACGGAGGTCAAGGGCAGTGTGAGGTGGGTCAGGACGGAAGCCGGAGACCCTCGGGTGCCCTGGGCTCAGCCTGCTGCACCAGAACCCGCAGGCCCAGGGCCTCCCCCCTGACGCCTCTCATCCTGCCCCACTTCCTTTCTTTCAAGGCTCCCTCAGCCAGGGCACCCGGGGCCACAGCAGTGAACCCCTGAGCCTTTGCCGCTCCGGGGGCTCCCTGAGCAGGAGGCGCACCCTGAAGCTGGTCCGAGGGATTGGTGGGCTCAGAGCCCCAATGTCCTCCACCTCCTGCCGCCGAGCTGGCATCTCCAGGGAGGTCTCAGCCCCCCGCCCCCCAGCTTCCTGGCACTGCCTGGCCCTGGTGTCCAGGCCACACACTGGGTGAGTGGTTTCTCTACAAGGTCACTCACGTAAACCACACGAGGTGCGCATGTCCCGTCCAGGTTCTGTTTAGCCGGGAGGGAGGCCCTGCCGGGAGGGAGGCCCTTCCTCAAGGGGCAACCATGTGATTTGTTGACCAAACCTGATCACTTTTGAAAATGAAAGGGGCACTATTAATAATTACACTGGGCCAACTGGTATGAGCAGGGGCCGATGGGAGGAGCCGCGGTCACGGCCCCCAACCCCCCCCCCCGCCGCCCCCCAGCCACCCCATTTAGCTACATGTGGGGAGCTTTCTAGTCACAGCAGGCGGCGGGCTCTGCTGGCAGCTGGCAGGGGCTGCCACTGAGCTCTGGGCCCTGGGGACCACAAGTCAGCGCTGGTCGAGGGGAGAGAAAGGCTCAAGGCGCCTGAAAGGAAGTGGTGGAGCCTGGGTTGTACGCGGCGACTTCCTCCTCTCCCCGGCCCGGTGCCTGTGGTCCCCTCCCTGAGGGTCGGGCGGGCTCGGGTGTGCCCGTGGGTGGTGGAAAGTTTGGCCGCTAGATTCCCATCCCTTCACCTCGCCCCCGCCAGGGTGAGGTGCTGGGGGCAGCCTCAAGCCAGGGCAGAAGGGCTGGGAATGCTGGATTTCTGTGTTCTTCCCGGTTCTCGATGAGATCATGGTCTGACCCCGTGGCCAACTGCAAACCGAACCGTAACCCTGAGTCCAGCCGTATCTCTAACCCTGACCCCAACTCGTGTGCAGTCATGGCCACACACACACCAGGCCCATCCCTGGTGTGACCCTGACCCCGGCTGTCCTCCTGACCTCAGGCCCATCCCTAGCCCTGATCCCAGGCTGGCCCGAGTCCCGCAGCGCCCAGCACGGGACGTGCAGAATCCCCTGTGTCGCGGCAGCCGCTGGCCGGAGAAAGAGGCCTGCGGAGCAGAGGACGCTGCGGTCTCCGACTCTCCTGATCTCAGTTGCTCATCAGTTTCCAGAAGAGCTTTTGAGATCCCCGGATTGTTCGTGGGAAGACTGAATGAGAGGATCAGTCAGTCGGTGCAGCCCAGCTCAGCAGACCGAGGTGTCAGGAGCACGCATTTGTGTCCCTGCTTCGTGCCACATCCACGCTGTGACCTTCAGCCAGCTCAGTCATTCTGATCTCCACTTGCACCTCCCCTCCTCCCCAGACAGGCCGGCTGGCAGTTCTCGGGGCTCCCGGCCACCTCCTCTCCCTACGGCTGCCTTCTTGATTCTTTGGGGGACAGCAGAGTGCAGTGGTCAGTGGCCTGGAATGAATGCCTTAGGACTTTGGTCAAGGGCCCTAACCTCTGTAAGCCTCAGTTTTCTCACCTGTGAGATGGAGCTGACGGCCGTGGCAGTGCAGGTCATTCGTCAGCACAGCATGTGGCCCGTGATGAGCGCTCCTGCAGGGTGTCGGAGCAGCTCCTGGCCCTGGGGCCTCCCAGGTTCTGAAAGTCTCAGCAGAACCTTTCCCTGTGACCCCAGCAATAAAGCAGCGCCCTGATGCAGCCCTCACCCGTTCTTCCCAAACAGTCATGAGGGCGGAAAAAGCACTCAGGTGTGGGCCAGGAAGCCAGGAAATGGAGTGTGTGTTGAGGTGCACGTGTGTGACTCTTGGGTTGTGTTGTGAAGTTGAGATTTTTTTCCACTGAACTGGCAGTGTTTTCAGTGAGTCATTCAGGTCGCTAGTGCACTCAGTAACCTGGGACTGTGCATGTTTTTGTTTTTTAAAGATTTGTTTATTTTTTATTTGAAAGAGAGAGAATCTTCAGCGGGTTCAGACCTCAGATGGCTGCAAGCGCCAGCGCTGGGCCAGGTGGAAGCCAGGAGCCAGGCTCTTCTTCCAGGTCTCCCACATGGCTGGCACTTGAGCCATCCTCCGTTGTTTTTCCAGGCCATTGGCGGGGAGCTGGATTGGAAGGGGAGCTGCTGGGACACGAACCAGCACCCATTTGGGATGCTGGTGTTGCAGGCGGCTGTTTTACCTGCTGTGCCACAGGGCTGGCCCAGGGCCTGTGCATCTTAATCTTCTTTTTTTAAAGATGTATTTATGTATTTATTAGAGAGGCAGTCACACACACACACACAAACACACAGAAAGGTCTCCTATCCACTGGTTCACTCCCCAAATGGCTGCAAAGGCCGGAGCTGGGCTGATCTGAAGCCAGGAGCTTCTTCTGGGTCTCCCATGTTGGTGCAGGGGTCCAAGCTCTTGGACCATCTTCCATTGCTTTTCCCAGGCCATTGGTAGGGAGCTGGATTGGAAGTGGAGCAGCCGGGACTCAAACCAGCACCCACGCGGGATGCTAGCACTGCAGGTGGCAACTTTACCTGCTGCGCCATAGCGCCGGCCCTGCCTGTGCATTGTGAGGCTGGGAGAGACACCCTGTGAAGGGGGGGAGCCCCTAAGGGCCATGGAGTTCCAGGAGGCCAGGTCCCCTCAGCTGGCCAGGGTCTCAGAGGTCATTGTGAGGGTTGCCTGGGGCTCTGCCTGCTCCAGGCACCCGGTGTCAAGGCTGGGAGAGGGCTGGGCATTCAGGGCCTGGAGCTGCTCCTTGGTCCTTCCTGCAGTGCCAGGAGCTGGGTGGTGGGAACTGGGGTAGCTCTGATCAGAGAGGAAGGCAGGCCTCGGAGAGATAGGGGCCTGGGAACTGAGTGTGGCAGGTGAGATCCGTGAGGAGGGGTGTGAAGGCAGCGACCTGCATCTGTCACCGAGATGCAGCAGTGACGGTGGATGAGAGAAGCCGGCTGCAGGGACAGAGGGCAGCACTCCCTCAGTGCCCTCCCCAGAGTCCCACACCCACAAGGCCACCGCAGGACCCTGTTCTCCTAGAGCCCCTAGTCCAATGGGGGACCTCCAGCCCCTGTCCTCAGTCTGAAGAGGGCTCCTTCCCTGGGGGAGTCCCCAGCGTGATAGTGGACAAACCAGGGCCACCCCATCTACTGGGGGAGGTGCCAGGCCCATGAGAAGGTCGGGGGGGGGGGCGGTGAGCACAGCACACGCTTAGCAGATGTGCGCATGGAGGGGTGCAGGGACTGGGCCCCGGACCTCGGCCCGGGCTCCTCGAAGGGCCTGTTCCCTGCGTGCCTGCCTAACCCTACCCACCATCAGATGGGCGGGGACTCTCCTTCCCCAATAAGAGGCCTTGCCCCTAGATCCTGGCCCCAATGCAATAATTTGCCTTTGGCCCAAATGAGTTCAAAATCATTTTTTTTTTATTTGACAGATAGAGTTAGACAGTGAGAGAGACAGAGAAGGGTCTTCCTTCCGCTGGTTCACCCCCCAAATGGCCACTATGGCCGGAGCTACGCTGATCTGAAGCCAGGAGCCAGGTGCCTCCTCTGGGTCTCCCTTGCGAGTGCAGGGGCCCAAGCACTTGGGCCATCTTCCACTGCCTTCCCGGGCCACAGCTGAGAGCTGGACTGGAAGAGGAGCAACTGGGACTAGAACCCCATATGGGATGCCAGCACCACAGGCGGAGGATTAACCAAGTGAGCCATGGCGCCGGCCCTCAAAGTCACTTTTTTCTTTTTTTTTTTTTCTTTTTTTTCTTTTTTCTTTTTTGACAGGCAGAGTGGACAGTGAGAGAGAGAGACAGAGAGAAAGGTCTTCCTTTGCCGTTGGTTCACCCTCCAATGGCCGCCGCGGCCGGCGCACTGCGGCCGGCGCACTGCGCTGATCCGATGGCAGGAGCCAGGTGACTTATCCTGGTCTCCCATGGGTGCAGGGCCTAAGTACTTGGGCCATCTTCCACTGCACTCCCTGGCCACAGCAGAGAGCTGGCCTGGAAGAGGGGCAACCAGGACAGAATCCGGCGCCCCGACCGGGACTAGAACCCGTTGTGCCGGCGCCGAGGCAGAGGATTAGCCTAGTGAGCCGTGGCACCGGCCCAAAGTCACTTTAAAAAAAAAAAAAAAGGTTTTATTTATTTATTTATTTGAGTTAGAGAGGGAGAGACAGAGAGAAGGGTCTTTCATCCACTGGTTCACTCCCCAAATGGCCACAACGGCCAGAGGGAGGCCGATCTGAAGCCAGGAGCTTCTTCCAGGTCTCCCACGTGGGTGCAGGGCCCAAGCACTTGGGCCACCTTCTACTGCTTTCCTAGGCCATAGCAGAGAGCTGGATCGGAAGAGGAGCAGCTGGGACTTGAACCAGTGCCCATATGGGATGCTGGCGCCACAGATGAAGGCTTAGCCCACTACGCTATGGCACTGGCTCCTAAAATAATTTTGTTTTGAGAGGGGCTCTCCCCCTGGTTCTGCCCAAGGCCTAGGAGAGAGCCAGCCAATGAGCAAGGGCAGTGGGGCTCAAGCCACACTGCCTTCTGCAGCCTCCCTCTCCTGTGCGGTCAGATACACTCACCAGACGGTCTCATCCCCGCCTTCCCCTCCCATCCACATGCCTCTCTCCCACGTGCATCCCATGCAGAACCTGGGCCTCTGCCCTGACCTTCCGGGCGACGGGCTGCTTCCTTCCAGCCCCGACTTCCCCAAAGTCCCCAAGTCCCTTCTGAGGTTGGGGACGGGGCAAGGAAACCAAAACCCCTGCCTATAGGGAGAGCCCCAGGCTGTGTCCAAGCCCAGAACAGAGACGAAGCAGGACCGAGGCCATGGCAGAGCCGCCTGGGAGGTCAGGGAGGGGGCGTGCAGGCCACAGGGGGAGGAAGTGGAGGGCAGGGCTGGAGCGATAGCCTTCGATGGCTCTGGGTTCAAAGTGACCCCGAGAGAGAGGCAGAGCAAAGGAAGTGGGCGAGGCCCCTTGCTAACCCGGAGTTTGCTCTTGCTCTGTGCAGGTGGATGCCCAGGAGGCCCCAGCAGGAAGGAGAAAGGGAATAAGAAAATAAATTCACAGAGCAGCTCAATTCACTTTCACACACACACACACACCCCTGCCCCAGGGCATTTACTGGGTGTCAGGCCCTGGGCAAAGTGCTGGGAATATAAACCCAGTGATACCGTCCCCACTGCTGCCACAGAGGAACCCAGTAAAGTTCCAGAACAGGGCAGCCTCAGAGAGCGCTCGGGGCAGGTGTGCAGTGCGCAACAGCTGCTCACAAAGATGTCCATGTGAGGAGCTGGAGGGACCAGGGCAGCACGGAGGCCCTGGGCAGGGTGAGGCTGAGAAGGGCCAGGAGGTGGCTTTGAGGCTGAGGCAAGAGCGGTGGCCGTGGGGTCAGGTGGTGTTGGGGCCGTGTGCCAGCAGGCCCCTCTGGCAGCCCGCAGGCCCTGTTCTTCAGCCGGGCTGCTCACAGGCTGGGCAGCAAGTGGCCCTCGGCCAAGCGGAGGACTCTTCTCACTGACCCCTCCCCCGGTACACATACTGCGCTTGCACTTGGGGCACTGCTCTGGGAGCTGACAGTGAGGAAGGCGACCCTCACTCAGTTCATGATAGCTCTTTGATGGTGAAACTGTTGCAGTCCTCCTGGCAGCTTCTGCACGGAGAACAGGAGAACACTGGCGCATTCCTGGAGGGGCTGTGTCAGGCCCCAGGCAAGGCCTGGTGCACCCGTGAATCAGGGACCCCTTAGGGTCACTGCACTCCACCCGGTCCCCGGGGCTGGGATCCACGGCCGTGGGGAAGGGTGGTGTAGGAGCAGGGGGAGGCCTTAGAGCCACAGAGGATTCTTACAGCTGGGGCTGGGCAGGTGCAGTGGCAGAACTGGGGCTTCCTACACAGCAGGGACCGTAGGACACCCCGCCCCCCCCCCCACGCTCTTTTTTCTTCTGACTCTCTGCCTTGTGTCCTCAGGGTGAACTTGGCATTGGCCTACACAGAGCTGACTGAGGAGCTGGGCCGGCTTCGGGAGTTGAGTTCCCTGCAGGGGAGGATCCTGAGGACTCTGTTGCAGGAGCAGGCCCGCAGCTGCGGTGAGATGGGACCCTCACCCCGGGAGGCAGGAAGGGAAGGAGCCGGGTTCTGGGCAGCCCTCGACCACCTTTCCCCACACCAGGGCGGTGGGCTTGGTCCCACTTCTGACGTCTTCTCCCCACACCCTTGTCCCCCACGCCCGGCCTGCTTTCCCTTCCAGGCCAGAGACACTCGCCGCTGTCGCAGCGTCACTCCCCGGCCCCCCAGTGCCCCTCGCCGTCCCCGCCCGCCCGCGCCGCGCCCCCGTGCCAGTCCCCCGTCCCGCAGCGCCGCTCGCCCGTGCCCCCGTGCCCCTCGCCCCAGCAGCGCCGCTCGCCCGCCTCGCCCTCGTGCCCGTCGCCCGTCCCGCAGCGCCGCTCGCCGGTGCCGCCGCCGTGCCAGTCCCCCAGCCCGCAGCGCCGCTCCCCGGTGCCGCCCAGCTGCCCGGCGCCGCAGCCCCGGCCGCCGCCGCCGCCACCGCCGCCCGCGGACAGGACGCTGGCGGAGCGCGCCTACGCCAAGCCGCCCAGCCACCACGTGAAGGCCGGCTTCCAGGGCCGCCGCAGCTACTCCGAGCTGGCAGAGGGCGCGGCCTACTTGGGCGCCTCCCCGGCCTGGCTGCAGGCCGAGGCGGCCACGCTGCCCAAGCCGCGCACCTACGGCGGCGAGCTCTACGGCCCTGCGCGGCCGCTCAGCCCACGGCGCGCCTTCGAGGGCATCCGGCTGCGCTTCGAGAAGCAGCCGTCGGAGGAGGAGGAGTGGGCCGTGCCCGCCAGCCCGCCCAGCCCCGAGGCCGGCACCATCCGCTGCGCCTCCTTCTGTGCGGGCTTCCCCATCCCGGAGTCGCCCGCTGCCTATGCCCACGCCGAGCACGCGCAGTCCTGGCCCTCCATCAACGTGAGTGGGGGCCGCCCTGCGCGCGGGGGTGGGACGGGGGAGGCGGCCCCAAAGCTCCGCCCTCTGCCTGGGGGCCCTCCCCGCGGCCTCCTCCTCCCACTGCTTAGCTCCCTTCTCTCTCCTGACCCTGGGCCGGCTCCAGGGCCTTTTCCCGTGCCTCCAGGAACTGGGGCCTGCACCACTAGAGAGCTATGCTTAGCACCACGCCGCGGCTAAGAGCATGGTTTTCAGTGAGGGGCTTGGGTTTGCCCCCGGAATGTGTGACTGATTTAGTAGCTGTTGGACCTCCTACAAGTTGCTCATCCTTGCTGGTCCTCAGCTTTCTTGTCTGTAAAATGGGCGATAATGATTAAATGAGCATTCTGAAGAGGGAGGCAGTGAGCCAGGAGCAGCTTGCGCAGGGCCCAGCTCCCATCGTCCGGGACCGGCAGCCATTGCCGGTCCCCACCCGTGCCCTGGCGGGCCTCGGAGCCCCGGCTCTTTCTGGCTGTGCCATGAGACAGTCCCGTCTTCGGGATTCACTCATTTCACTGAAACGATGAGTTTCCTGGAGGTCAGCTTGCCATCAGGAAGGACCAAAGTGTGTTCCAAAAGCAGCCAGGAAGTCGTCCATTGCCCTGGGTCCCCCCACCCCCACCCCGCCCCAGGCTCTCATCTCCAGCCGGGGATGCCTGGCCTCCCTCATCGGCAAGCTGGGCAGTGAGCTCCTGAGGACCCCAGCCCTCGACCACAGAGTGGATTCTGAGTGATGGCGCTGGAGACGGCTTCTGGAGCTGCCCCGAGTCCCTGGAAAGGGCAGGCTGGGCCGTGGGGGCCGTGGGTTGGGGCTGGGGACCCTAAGTGACTCCCCTTCTCTCCCCACAGCTGCTGATGGAGACAGTGGGCTCCGACATCCGCAGCTGCCCCCTCTGCCAGCTGGGTTTCCCCGTTGGGTACCCGGATGACGCCCTCATCAAACACATTGACTCCCACCTGGAGAACAGCAAGATCTAGGGCACCTCCCCCCACTGGCTGTCTCTCTGCCCTCTGCCCTCACCCCTGGAATCTCACTCACTTTGAATGCTGCATGAATCTCGTGGGGGGCCCCAGCCCCTCGCGACCCCCAGATACCTCCACTAGCTACTGAGTCAACGTGTGTGCCGTCTTCCCTGGCCCAGGCACCACTCAGCTCTGGCTCTTCCTGGGAGGTCAGTCGAGGCGCCCCCCACCCCCACCCCACCTTCCTGGCTTCCACTGGGGAGGTGGGGACTCTGGGCTGGGATGGGGAGGGGCAGACCCCTCCCACGCCTCTCCCTCTGCCTTTCTGTTCTTAAACAGGGTTGGATCCAAGAACGTGTCTAGTGCTTGGGCCTGGGGGAGGGCGAGGGTGTCAGAGGATTCCAGGAGCGCCCCCCCCAGTCCCTCCTCCAAGGTCCATCTTTCCCAGGCTGTGCTCTGTCCAGGGAGCATCTCCCTGTGGGCCCCCAGAGCCTGCCCAGAGCACCGATGCTGGCTTCTCCCGCCAAGGCCAGCCTGGGCTCCTTGCAGCGGCCCTAGTGGGCGAGCAGACATCTGGTTTCTGGCCATTCCCTGCAGGCCAGCCATGTTCTCCCCTCCCCCCGCCCACCCTGGGAGCAGGGGGGGGTGGGCGGCGAGAGGGAGGGCCTGCCAACAAAGAAGCTGCCCTGGGGGGCTGGAGACCCCCCCATGACCCTCTGGCCGGGGACTGCCTGCCAGCCCCCAGCCCATGCCCTCCTCCTGGAGTCCTGGCTCCGAGGCACAGGTTGTCAAGGGGGGAGCCTCCCCCTCCCCCCAGCCCTGCCCCACTCAAGCCGATGACACCACAGGTGCCCTGGAGCCCACGTGTGACACAGATGGGTGGGCATCATCGGCCCCTGCCTCCCAGGCCAGAACCTAAGAATGGGTCCAGGGTGCTGTGGAGATCCACTTCAAAAGAGCTAACCCCCTTCCCACACCCACCGCCCCTCACTCCCTCTGTGAAATCTACCTCAGAGTCGTGCCCTCAGAAAGACGGGGAGCAGGCGGCTGGCGGGTGGGGGAGCCTCCTGGGCCAGAGCCTGCCACCCCGAGGGACCCCTCCCCACCAGCCGTTCGCAGCTCCCTGCCCCGGGCGGTGGCCATGGACACTGCTGGCAGCGCATGTGCCCGTCCGATCCAGCTCTTCCAGGCCCTCCCCTCCCCTCCCTCCTCAGTGTCGGGGAGGGAAGGGCCGTGACTGGGGGGAGAGGGGCCAAGGACTCCAGAGACACATGTCATCGTACCCTGAGTGTTCCCCAGGGAGGGGACATGGGGAAGGGGGCCTGGAGGGGGGCGGGGGCCTGTGTGCTCTCTGAACAAGTTGGAAGTCCAAATAAACGTACCTGCTCCATCTGCGCTCGGCCTGTGCCCTCCGTGGCTGGGGTGTGGCTGGAGCCCAAGGTGGCAGGAGGTGCTGGGCGGAGTATCTCCTGGAGCCACAGCCACAGGGGGGCGGGCACCCCCGTTCAGAAGGGACAGGGCCGGGGGCCGTGCAGGTAGTTACAGGTGGCTGGTGCTGTCAGCTTCGCCCTGAGCACCTGGTGGGGGCTCTTGAAGGGCCCCTTGGTGCCGGCCTGGCCAGGAGAGGTCCAGTCTCTGGGCGTGGGGTGGGGGAGTCACTAATCAGTGGCAGCTACTTCCCATGGTTGCTGCAGGCTGGGGCCAGGTGAGCCCTCGACAGGAGGGACGCCCGTGCCTCCATCATCCTGGCTCTGAGCGCCTGGATCCAGGGTTAGCGGCTGCCTCAAGAGTCCCATACCTGGGAGGTCAGAGCTGGGTCACAAACCCATGACTGCCCCAGCGGAGGCTGTGCCCTCTGTCTGCAGGACGGGCTTCAGTGCCCGTGGTTTCCATGCGGCCCTTTCTGGCCAAGAGCTCATCGGAAAACAAAAGTGGTGGTGGCGGGGCCGTTGCTCACGGGGTCTCCTGAGGCTCAGCCCTCGACACAGGGTGCAGCCTCCCCAGCTTACAGCTGCCATCTGCAGCCAAGTCCCAAGAGCCAGGAAAGTTCTAGAACCTCTGGGATGTGGGCACTCAGTGCTGCCAGCTGTTTCCCTCCTCAGTCAACGCCCCATGGAGGAAGACAACACTGGTTTTCCAGACCCGGGTCCTGTTCTGGATGCCCTAGACAGAGGGGTGAGTGGTCTAAAGGGTGGTGGTCTCAGGACACCCAAGGCCAACAGAACTCCTGGCCATTAGGGAGAGGGGCCTGGGGAGACCTGGAAATGAGCTGGTGCAGCGGCAGGGGTGCTGCGTGACCGCTGATGTGGGAGGGAACCCAAGTGCCCCGCAAGCTGGCTCTGCCCCTTGTCAGCAGGGTGAGGGGAGTGAGGGGACAGAGGGTGCCGATTCTGGCAGCTTGTCGCCTTGATTTCCAGGGACCCGGGAAACACTCAGGTGCAGGGTGCAAAGTTGCTGGGGGCTGGCAGCGAAGGCGGGAAGGTAGCAGGAGCCGACACAGGCCCCCTGCCCAGGTCCCTCGGAGTCAGGGCCTTCATCTTACACCCCCTGAAGGAGCGGCCAGACCAGACAGAAGGATGCTGTCTGGGGCACAGGAGGGGGCACTTGGGGCTGAGAGAAGGCGGGGCAGGGGGTGGGTGGCCAAGGCTCCAGGCTCCGGGGAAGTAGAAGGGGGCGGGACAAGTGAGGGAGGACATCTCTCCAGGCTGGGAAAGGTGCTCCCTCTCTCCAGCACACACCAAAGCCAGACACAGCAGGGCTCTCCGTGGTGCCCCACACCCGGCCGAGGTTCCCCTGCCCGCTTCAGGCTGTGTGGGGCGGCGAGCTGAGGACAGCAGCAGCTGCCTTCAGAAGCGGTCGCTAAACGGGGAGGGGTGTGGGGTGAGTCAGCCGTGTTAATGAGAAACACTTCACCCGGCTGATGAGGACTAATGAACAAGAATGGGGGGCATCTTTATGGAGCAGGGGAGCAGCCAGGCTCACCCTCGGCAAGGACAAGGACAGCAGCTTAGGTGACCACAGGAAGAACCGAGGTCAGACTAAGGATGAAGAGGCAGAGAGAATAGAGAGCAAGGCGGCTGTGGATTGGGAAGGGGTGGGGTAAGGCGTCCGGGGCCAGAGGGTGTGCCGCCCCCGCCCTGTCGCTGCCACGTCTCCCGTTTCTCCATTGGACCCCAGAGCTGTGCCAGGCACTCAGCTGCCCTGGGGTTGCCCCTGTGCCATAAACTGAGGTCTCAACTGCACCTGCGGAGGGTCGTGAGCTGTGCCTTTGAGAACATTCCAGGCCACGTCTGTGACAGAAGGCTGTGGGTCAGGACCTGCAGGTTCACTCTGCAGAAGCCACACGGCCCTATGTTCATGACCCAGGGAGGCCTGGCAGAGCTGCGGGCAGGAAGAGGCCAGGGGAGGGAGGCCATGGGCATCAGCTGGGAGCCCCCTGCCCTGGCGCCTGCCCCATTCTTGTGACAAAGGCGATGCCCCTGAGAACCCAGCCCCAGTTGACCGTGTCCCCCACTCTCTGCCAAGTCAGCCAAGGGCAGGGTCACAAGCGCGTCTCACAGATGTTCCCGTAGGCTGTGGGCATGGGGGAGGGAGGGAGGGAGGGTGAGGGGACAGGATGGGTGTCGGCCAGCACCTCCAACACCTCCTAATTTGCATTACCACTGACAATCTTCTTGACCAAGAAAATGGAGCCAGAAATAATGGGGGCGGGGAGGTGGTTCCCGTGGCAGAGGGGGGCATTTTGAGGTTCTCTTTCCTTGTCTTGCCTCCAACACTCCCGTGGTACTGGGAGCAAGAGGGCAGGCAGCCCCACAGCTGGCCCCAGGGCAGGGGAGTGCACCCACTGTTGCTCCTCCAGTGGGGGCCAGCTCCCCCTTCCCAGCCTCTCAGTCCCCCACACTGCCACCTTACCCCTTCCGTCCTCCATCCTACCCTCCCCCCTCCCTGAGGAGCCTTCTCCCTGGGCCCCCTGCAGCTCTGCCCAGCTGGGGAGTTGTCTCTGCCAGCGCTCCCTAGTCCGTGTCCTGCCTCCCCCGTCAGACTAGCATTTGGAGCATTTGCCAGAACCAGGGCCTGAGCAGAGCCACTTGAGGGGCCGTTCTGCAGGGGAAGTCGCCCAGGGGACAGCCACAGAGCTTTCTGCTGGATCTGGGGTGAAGCGGGGCCCAGCAGGGGACCCTGGGCCTAGGGCTGTGTGACAGGGCAAAGAGGGGCCTTTCTCCCGTACCAGGGACCCCTAGCTTTACCTGGAGGTGGTTCCTGAGTGTCAGGTCTCCTGTTTCAGAGAGAGGGACCAGACCCCCTCCAGTTCCACCTTTCTCTCCCCTGCCTCAGCAAGGAACGCACAGACCCTTGCTGCTCCGTGGACTTGCAGCGAATTTACTTCTGCCCCAAACGGGGCCGGGGAGGAGCCTGACGGTCCCAGCTCAGAGGCGGGATGTGCCGAGAAGAGAGGGGTCCTGGGACCCGCAGGGGTGCGGGAGTGAGGGGGGGAGCAGCAGGCCCAGCAGGGAAAGCAGGTCGCAGGCGAGCAAGAGCTGTGAACACACCGTGGGAAGGAGCGAACGGCGAGCTGAGAACTTCCCCACTCCCCCTCCAGAGATGCTATTCTGGGGAAGCTGATATATGCAGCGCAGGGGGCAGGGTGGGGCATGTGCCAGCTTCCACAGGGTCAGCCGGCGCACGCTGTCCCCACTCTCCCAGCCAGCTTCCCCGGCTCCGGCATGCCCCTGCACTGCCCTCGTCACTGGGAGGTGCTTCCCGAGCCCCAGGGTGGGAAGAAGTGGCCAGGACATGTGGAGCTGGCCTCAGACCCCACGAGAAGTTTCCATTTCCATTGCTTCCTGGGGGCAGGCACAGAGCACAGCCTGGGAGCCCAAGCACTTCTTGCCCCCAACTCTGCACTTCCGCACTCTGCAGGGATGGGTGTGGAAGGGGGCAGGGCGGAAGCATCACCTGAGCTGGCCCCCAGGGTGGGACCCCTGCGTGGGGAAGCCGCTCGCTCCCCAGGCAGGAGGCGTGCTGCAGGCTGCCTCTCTTGGCATGAAGTGCTCAGCGCTCCCGGGGGCCTTGACTCATCTTGGGATGAGAGCTCCGGTGCCCTGTGGGTTTCTGGGGTGGCTGGGGTAGGGGCAGGGGCAGGCGCAGGGCGGGTAGCTAGTGTGGGGCTGAGCAGAGACTTTTATTTTCGCTTTTTAGAGCTTGGCTGTGTCTCTGCTTGAGAGTCCAGCTTCTCCTAAAAGAAAGGGGTGGCTGGGGTGGGAAAAGGCCTGGCTTGGAGCCTGCTGTGAGGAGCTGGGCACAGCTGCAGTAGAAGGAACTGAGGTTAGACTTTAGGAAGAACTTCCTGCAAAGACGGGGTAGGGGCATATTTCCAAAGAGGAACAGAGGGGTCCAGTCCCCTTGTGTGGTTTGCACAGCGCTCCCTCCAGGGCTGGCGTTTGTCCTGGGACAGTGCAGGCCACAGGCAGAGAGGTGAGCAGAGCGAGCCAGTGCAGGCCGTGGGGGTCTGTGGGATGAGAACAGATTCAGGCTTGGAATGCACACATCCCCACAGCAGCCCGCGGGGTAAGGGGTGTGAGGCACAAGTCGCGGCCGGGAAGCCCCTCTCTTCTTCCAGGCCAGGGAGGGCTGTGCCTACAGGAGCCTTCCAAGGGGAACTGGGGCCAGGGAGCCAAGTGCGCTGGGGCAGAGGACCTGGAGGGAGTCTGCCAGAGGGCAGGAGACCTTGTCCTGCCAATGAGCCCTGCTCAGGAGGCCACCAGGTCCAGGCTCCTGGCCCAAGGGGAGTAGGTGCGCAGGCCTGCTGAAGTGCTGATCGAAGCCGTCTTCCTTCCTGGGGCCCTGGGTCTTGTGGGTGTTGCAGGAGCTCAGCTCTCCCTCCTGCCCGCCAGAGAGCAGAAGCGAGGGGTGGATGGGAGGTGAGGGGGAGGACTGGGAGATGGTGTGAAGGAGATAGCTGGCCCTGAGCATGGGTGAGGGGCAGGGAAGGGGAGAGTGCCCCCTGGTGCTGGCCTCGGGGGTGGGCCCGGGACACCCCCAGAACTCACAGGGGGCATCAGAGAGCCTCCCTTCCTTCCCAGACTGGCTGTGCCTGCTGCCAGAGGAGGGACTGAGGTGGGCGCCCCATCCCCTGAGCTCATCCCCAGCGCTGCCCTTGTCCCTCACAATGGCATGAGGGAGGGGTGCTCTTCTCTGGTCAGGCAGATGTGCAGCCACCCACTGCCCCCCCAGGTTCCCCTGGTCACGCTTCACCCCTGTTGCTATGAGTGCATGGACGGACCCAGCCATATGTGCACACATCCTTCCCCACCCACCAGGCTCCCAGGGACACCCACCTGCATGGACACACTGTCCCCAGCACAGCACCCAGGGTCCTGGAGCCAGTCGGG